TGTAATTTTGCTGTTCTGTACAGTTTTTTTTCTCTTAGTGACGAATGCTGAACTCGCTCTTTCATCCATCTCTGTCAACTGTTGTAGCCCAAGGACAACCAAAGACTAATGTCCCCTAATCTCAGTCGCAGGCCAGAGTCTTCTTTCACCTGATAAAATTAAGCAGGCATGGCATTTCCATGAACCAGGACAGAGTTCATCTAAGGTGCTGAAATAACCTCATGACATCTGACCATTTATCCTTTCTTGTCTTTATAGTCTCGAGGCCCATGTGTCATTGAGAGACAACATCCAAGAGAAATGGCTCAGCAAAATCAGGATTCAGAACAGTGATCTAATGGACACATACTGTATGATTAAGCATCATGCAAAAGTTGCTTGTTCTTTTTTAAAAGCACTTTCTGGACTAAGAAAAATCAAACTGCTCTTTTGCATCATCTCAGCTTTAATTTTATACAGCAAAAGTATAGGATTTGTTTATATGATTTAGATACTGATTTTGCTCAGTTCTTGAAAATGAATTCATCCATGTGTACTGTCCAGTGACTGTATATACAGTACTGCATTCATCTGACCATTTAGTATTGTTTTACCATTGTTTAGTAAGTTACAATCTTACAGTAATCATTATAACACCAATCACAAAGTATTTTAATATTGTAATACAAATATTTTAACATATTAAAAATATTCTATTTTGTATGATTACAGTAGTTAATGTATGAAATAAATATACAGTATGTACTTTCAGACATCATATAAGACAACCATGATATTAATTTTCTAAATAATTGCAGTATATATTATATAATACATATTACTGTGTTGGGAGACCTCTAAGCAAAGTCTGTTTGCTGTTGTAAGTAGTGTTGGACGAGTAGGTGGCACTCTTTCTTCTAGACCAGAGTTTCCAGACCATTATCCCAAAATGATTCACTGACCTGAATACTTGTTCACTAAAGATCACTTTACACTGCTGGTAAAAGTAGGAGTGTTGATCCCTAGTGTCCTGGGTAAACTCCACTTTGTTCTTGCATAATTAGCCTACCTGAATTCCCTGCTTAACTTTCAACTGTTGAAATAATTTCACACTTCTCCACACGATCTGCTGTGCAGTGGGACTCCTGGAGTATAATGGCTTTAGTTCAACGCACCCCAGTGGATCCTGCACTTCAGTGGTGAATGAAGCATGTCTCCACTTATCTGTGAAGTTTCTTTAAACTCTCTGGGAAGCAGAGCAGTAGATACGTGCAAGGAATTATCATTATTAACAGATATTTGAAGTTGAACAATTACAACACTGCAGCGAACAATTAATAAAAGAGTGTAAACAGAATTTGTAATGTGTCAGCTGAACGTGTACCTGTTGACACCATAGAGAATCTTCTGAAAAGAAGGTTCCCTGAAAGATCACTTACTTTGCTTCTACACTAAAGCCCTTAACTTACAATGAAACTTATCAAGTTTTGTCTAATTTTCTCTCGGTTTCCCATCTAACTACCTTTACAAAAACACATTTTTGAAGGTGGATCATGATCATCTTTGTATTATTAACTTGTAACACAATAACTTGTTGAAATGTTTTAAGAATTTTGCTCAGATAATCAAAATCACATTTAAAGCATTAAAATACTTTACAAAAAGTTAAATATACTATTAATGACAGAAATAAAGAAGAAGCAAGTCAAGAGTAAACAGTCAATCCTCCATTATTTTTTTATTACAAGATTATATATATATTTATTCAAATTGGATTCCATTGTAACTGTTCATTTTGTATCTGCTAGGGGGATGAGTTTTAAATTTTTTACAATTCAATTGATAGCATAACCTAATGACCTTGGAGCTATGCTTCAGCTGAATGCATTATGTATCCATGGATACAAGAAATTCATGCCTCACAGCTATAAAAGCATGCTTTGGTGCTTTTTTCCCATTGAAGAATGTATACTTACTAGTTAATAACTGCACAGTTTTTAAATGCAGAAAATATATGTTTGTTTAAAAAACAGAGGAATGTGAAAAAATGAGAAAGCATAGAACAGAATGTACATATATTACTACTTTGAAGCTTCAAATGTTTTGGATTTTCTCCACTGAAAGCTGGAGATTATTGTAAAATATATACATATTATACACTATATACAGCATAAAATTTATTTGACCACTACATGCTTGTGCTTTTCATCTTATTTCATTTTGTTTTGCAAAACACTAAGTTCCTATTAAATTTCCAACACATTTTTAAAATGGTCATTTTTCGTAATTTGTGTTAATGTATTCTAGCTTCTTTTTTTCTTGAATAAGTTTAACTACAGTATGAAATAATGTAGTTCCCACGGCTGTGAATTTTATAAAAGATTAATTCTCCTTTTCAAGATTTCATCCATTAAGAAGGTCAGTATTATTCAAAGTTATTTCTATAATCCTGCATTTAGAAAATCTGAAGAATTGTATTAAGGCCTTTGGCATTTTCTCACTGAATTTATCTAGGGAAATAATTATTACCAATGGCATTCTATAGTTTATAAAAGAAAACCAAACTATGTTTTGAAACAGTATTTTATTATTTTAAGTATTTGTAGATCTTTATGAAACAGCAAAAAGGTATTCATAAACTACTGTATTTGCTCAATCCTGTGTATATAGAAGTTTACAGCAAGTTGTATATTATGTACAGAATGCAGTTAGAAAATGTCTTTACCATTCATCAACTTTCTTACCACCACTTCTACATCTTCCAATTCAGTGTCATGGGACAGTCAGTGTCAAGAAGTGTCTTTCAGGGCCCTATGCAGACCATAAAATCTGGAGGAGAGTGAGACAAACATGGGGGAGAGAAGACTAGGAACGGGGCAGGTAGACAAACAGGGGGGCGTGTCCACGGTGTGCTGGTGCCTGGGGGGCGTGGCCAAGGCAAACAAGTCCAAAGGGAGTCCGTAGGAAAATTCAGGGTAAGCAAAAGACGAGAGCCAGGTAATCCATCCAAGAAAGACACGACAAAAGTTAAAAGCCGGAGCGGGATCCAGCAAAGGGTCGGGGAGATAAAAAGTGGTAACGGGGCCAGGTGCTTCAATCCCTGGACCCAGATGGTCAGGACACCGTTGCAAAGCCTATGCCGTTGAGCCTCTTCTGGACTCACTGGTAGGCGGGCTTCCAGGCATCCATCTTCCAAAACTGAGCCTGGATTGGTGGGAGCATCTGGCTTTTAAAGGAAAGGGCTGAGACAGGAGGCAGGTGCAAAAAATTCAAGACAAACAAGAAAGAGCAGGAGTGCCCTTAAGAGGAGGGACTTATGATCGTGACAGTCAGAATCTATCCTGGCAAAGTACGGGGGTAAGGCAGGGCACATCCTGGATAGACATACAAAAACACTCACATACCCACATCAGGAACAATATTCCCAGGAGCCAATTAACCAGCACCCGGAGAAAACCAATAGGGAGAACATACCATCTCCATGCACACAGCATCCTACTGTAGGTGCAGAATTGAACCCAGGGCCCTTATACTGCAAAGCAGCAAAGCTAACCACTCCACCACCATGCTGCCTGCAAAATGATTTTTATTACTGTATGTATTACTGTATATACTATGTATGAAATAAAAAGATGTACTTTGAATTTTCATCTTAAATAATGTTAGTTCTATTCTTCACATTAACAATGGAAAGTTTTACTGATGATGTACAGTATGTACGTGGGGCACTAAAATGTGATCGATGCAAACTGGAACCAATATAACTGGTTGTTTGATGCCTCTCTGTATCAGGATGGTACAGTATTTCCCTTGAGATCAACAGCCTCATATCTGCAAACACAGATAACACCATGCTCATGTTTTCAAAGGGTAGCTAGATAACAAAAACATAATTAAAGTAGTATACAGTATATTTTCTAGGAGCTACAGTGCATGCTTAGAAGAAGAAGCTGAAGAGGACGAAAAGAAAATACTAACATCACATGTACAGTACATGGAAATAGAATTTCTCATGGAAAGATCCATGAGTCATTTTTAATTTTTTCTCAGCCAGTCTATCTTACTTTGGTTTCTGTCAGCTCTTCTTATGTTAATGATTCTCTTCATGGATCTTGGAGGCCCATTGGGTTCTTGCAGTTTTAATCTGAAAATGCTGTGATTTTGCTCCGTTTCTGACACAAATTGCTTTTTAAAGAAATATAACTTGAAGTTTATGAATTTGGGTAATACTTATTAAAATAAATGTAATTTTCTTAGTTGAAAGGGTATAAATAGGGCTGTAAAGCGTCAACATCTTCTATTTGTGATCAAAGGTTACAATTACCTGCCACTCATTTTCAGCATCTAAACATTTTTTTAAAAGGTTTTAAATATGTTAATCAGAATACAGCTAGAAAAGGCCTGATCCAGCTTTAATTTGATAATAAACCTGGGTTTTGTAATGGGCTAAATTGGTACTTAAAGAATCTCAAATAACTGATTTATTTTTTTATTTTAAAATGGGACTGCTTAACCGTTATCTATGGTATTCCTTTTGGATTAAATTTGGAAAATGTAATGTAATGAATGTAATGAAAATGTAAAATGACAATACATAGTCTCTTTAAGGTTTTTGGAATTCATGTGTATTTTACTCCAATTAATCTTGTTTGGTGGCACTTGTTTGGTAGTGCTAGGCTGGATCGGACGCATTTTGTATTATTTCTTGCTTTTTAAATGGAAACATAGTTTTTCAATAAAAGGTGTCAAAATACTGATCTAAACTTAATCGTGCATGCTTTATTGAGGAAAACGAGCCATTTATCTCTTGCATACCTTTCTACATTTCATTATTCCGGGAAATAAACCTTTAACAAAACAAGTTTTATCTACTGTTTAAATTAACTTGAATGGCATTCTAGTACGAAATGCAAATTAAATCCAAACGAAACTGCACTTTAAAAAGAGACGCTATTTTCTCTCCGTTGTTTGCTCTGTCAGGAGTTTGGCTCTGAACACTAATATTATTATTGCGAAATGTATTACTGGAACATGCACACAAGCACAGTACGTGCCTCCACAGTCGCTCATAATCGATGACTCGGTGTTCAATTTATTTCCATCGACTCAAGTCTATGAACGATTAGGTTGGTCTATTTCGCGGAGACGAAAAACTGGAAAAGGAAAAGGTACTGTAATCTAACTTAAAGGGATTTACTGAGGTTAGAGCGCATTGAAAAAACGAAAGGAAAAACAAACGACGGTAAGTTAAATATTGATCAAACGAAAACACTTTTTTTTGTTCAAAAGCAGCGTAGAGAATATCTGATTAAACGTATTGTTACAGTTAAATACTTATTTAAAATCTTTGGTGTGTGTCCGGCGGATTGAAAAAGTTTCTTTATGCTATCAGCGCCAAGACAGCTTTCACGTTAGTGTTCGTGCCTGTTCATATAAGAGAATCACCTTTGAACATTTTCAGGAATAGACAGTAAATTTGACTTATAAAGTATATTAACGTAGTTGTTGCAGCATATAATATGTTCGGATCCTTGACTGTTCTGTCTGCGGTACTTTCGTTTGAGACCAATTACGTGGAAGTGAAGAGAAGTGCGCAGTAGTTTCTCGGTTTCTGCTCTGGGAACGACCGGGCTCGGCACAGTATTGGGACTTGGACGCGTCCCGATTTATAGTCTTACTCTTTTGTTTGGTGTCCGATGGGGGCATAAACACAGATATCTAGCGGCTCTTCTGGTCCATAACGTTGGGTTCATTTCGGGCTTACGGTGGGTTTTTAAACGTCATTCTTGGGAAACGATTCAGTGTATTTTTGCTTCGTAGAATCACCAAGTACATTAGGAGTTGTATTAATGTCAGCATAGAATCTAACGAATGAAGGAAAACTACATTGTTTAAAATAAGTTCATACATTCGTTTACGTGCCCACTTGAAAACAATATATATAGAGACTAATTGGGATTTACACCACTGGTTTAATTTGTTTCTACCTTTTTTCTGGGATTCGGATTTCACGTTTTCTTGTGAAAGTCTGTTTTATTGCCATTTTTATTGTTATCTTTTTTTTCTGCCTATGTGTAAATGACTCTTCATCACTAGGCTGCAGTTAACCAGAACAAGCCGGCACCTGATTGTCTGCGTCTTTTGTTTTCGTTAAAAAGCTGTGTCTAGTATTATAAACGTTTTAGAAAGGGAGTCACAGTGTAGTAAGGAATATACTGTATTGTGGTTACAAGATAATACGGAAAATGTCGTATATTCAGCATTCGCCTTCACAAAAAAAAGGCGCTAACATAGTTTGTATGGAACTGGGTCTAATGTTACTGAAAACGATACACTGAAACAAAAGTGCCCAAGACAGGAGAATGATAACACCCGTAAGGGAAAATAACTAATGGCTTAATAATACGGATTTTTTTTTTCTAACCAGTTTCAGTTAGACATCGGATATCGCTACATAAATGAGCTTTGAGAAACCGGTAAACTGTGTGAGTCGTAGCTCGAAGAACCTGGATAAAATTAATCGCTAAATCGCATAAAACGCAAACTAAGCTGACAATAAAAACGTCAGGAAGTACAAAGGAAATGCCTTTTCTTTTTTAAGACAGAAAGATACAATTATTTAACTTTTTAGTGCTCAGTGACATAAAGAGAAGTTGTCAGTATGCTGTGTTTTGTCTACAGTGAAGCAGGAACAAAGTGGCCGTGTGCTAAGGGTTAGTTTGCCAATGCACAAAAAAGATTGGCCCTTTATAGTGTGCCACGGGGCTTGTAAATTAACTTATAAATCCAGTATCGGAAAGTCATGGCTGGATCAAGGAAATGGGGGGTGCACATCCCAGAATGACCAAGAGGAAGACCTCCTTTAAGATGGTAAGGTACAAGTCAGCAATCGTCAGGAGGAAATAGATGAGGACAGCTCAGGATGTAATGATCTTGGGAATTATTAATAAAGGCTGCTGATATATGTATTTAGAATGGTGCCTTTGTCCATATGGACACAAAATGTGAGGATGCGAAGATAGATGTAGCACCACAGATGTTCAGGGGACTGTTGGGTGGAAAACTGTCAGGTGCAAGGTACTGGATGATGAAGGGGATTTGTAACTACAGTAGGTATGCTATCACAGCAAGAAGATTTGCAGAGCGGAATAGGTTACCCGAAGATGCGGAGGTATTTTGTTTCAGAAAGCCTGTGGGGATAGGAGATATGTTTCTCCTTTCTCTAAAGCTCACTCTGTGCTGTTTTACTGCTCCAATATACTCTCTTATTATGGCTATATTTCATCTTTAATAAGCGCATGTCTCTCACTTGTCACTCAGTTAACAGTCTGCCATCAGGGGCAAAACAGCACAACACGATCTCTTGCCACCGCTAATGGCACCTTCTGCACTCCCAACACAAACAGAAACTGGGACAGAAGAAGAATACCATCGATCACCTAGCTGTAAACCTCACGTGCTCAGAACAGCAAGTGAAAACCTTAAACCCTGAAATTATCGAGTGGTTTTTTTTTGTTAACAGAAAATATTAATGACTATTTTTGTAGTGTAGTTAAGGTTTGGTGGTTAGTGCATGGAAGGGTGGAGGTCTGTCCTGTATTAGCAGGTTCTGTCCGTGGTGCTGATCCAAAACATTTTGGGTTCAGAACTCAAGTTTAAGAACTGCATTCAACTTTAGATACGATTCAAAAGTTAACAGCAAGAACTCTATGAGTTATTTAACAGGTGTGGACAAAACTGGAGATGCTTAGATGCTTTATACTTGTAACTGCATGCATTATTTATACTCAAAAATACAACAGATGTTTTATTGTAACTGCGGCTCAACATTCATCCAGTTACCTGAACGCTTAACGCAATTAGCTGAATTAGTGATATAAATACAACAGAAACAACAGACATGTGCAAGGACTCGGTGGACTCTCAGTCAAATAGGGAAGGTTTAATTGCCCGCTCCTGAGTCAGTGATTGTTCAAGTGGAAGGACTGGTTAGCTAATTTCTAAATCAATCCTGCAATACAGCCACATCATAGCTAAAATGGTCACAGAGAAGTACTTTAAAAACCTTTAATTTAGTTGTTTCTTACACGTGTGCCCCCCAAAAAAAACTTATGACCTGAAAAACTACAGTATTATATCAAGTGTGATTTCAGTCACATTATTTTTGAGCATGGCAACATTCAATAGCATAGTGTAAAATCCATAAAAGGCCAAAGAATACAATTTCTTCTTGGTTATAAAAATGTGTTTTACATAATGTAGGTGACTTTTTTGTTTATTAGTACTGTCTTCTCTGGTTGGCTGAAAGCTAGGTCTGGTTAAACTAGGGCTTGCTGTTTTTAGCTTTCTTGAAAGCGATTTCACACTGTGCTTTAGGATGCATTCTGTATTCCTCAGTGGCCTGTGCTGTTCTAGACTTTACAACACGTGGCACAACATTTTGTTGATATTAAGTGGTTTTGACTGTATATACTCAAAATACTGTTTACGCTGAGTATTATCCAATATGTCTTTAAAATCATTCAGCATATATTTATTTGCATTTAAAATGATCTCATACCAATTGTAAAATAACAACAATAAAATACATTTATACCGCAGCATATATATATAGATAATAATAACTAATATATTTGTACTTAAAAATCATTGCACGATATTTCACATACTGTATTTCTTAAACTGTATTTAAGCCGGTATAAAATTCATATTTGCAATATCTCTGTATATTTAGTAAATAATCCTGAAGGCATTGGTGTTAATGTGCTGTGCATAATAAAAAAATATTTGTTTATGATGTACACCTAATACTATGAGTAGTAAGTAATATTCCACTAAAATATTAATGTAATATTTGAGATTCGATGAGTTATATTAAATCCCTTGGTTTACTTGACATTAATAAAGAAATCCTATCAGTTACCTTTATAAATAATGAAATTCCAATTACTTTTCTTAGGAACATTTAAAAAATATATGTACGCAGGTATTTTCATAGCAACGTTAATTTTAATATCTAGAATTATCTGGGAGCTAGTCAAACATGACAGTTTTAGAATGATCAAAATAATTTAGGTTTTTCATTTTTTCTTTGAATGTCTAAGAATGGAAAGTAGGATATCTTTGAAAAATCTCATTTGATACTCTAATGATAATTCTTTATATTTAGTGCTGTTCATTCATGATGCTAAACCACTATGCAGGTTTTATTAAGAGTTCAATATGCAATCATGCATTGTGGTGACATAGGCGATGTGTGTAATAAAAAAACATCCTATTGATGTTGAGGTTGAAGCATGTGTATTGTGTATACAACGGGTAACCACGAAAACGACATGCAGTCAAGTCAATTAACATTGTTTTGAGGCTAAGCAGTCCTACAGCTACTATGTTGAGTGACTGAATCTTTTTATGAGCCACCTGCAAGCATATATACGAAGCCACAAGGTTTCGACAGCACAGTTACTTAGTCTCTTGCGTTGGACCCGAAATGACTGCCTTGCAGAATTTAAGAGAATTTTTGATCGCCCAGGAAATTTTATTCCCCCTTAATATTTGCACTTTGGGAACAACATTCTCATGCATTCCTGCCTATTTCCACGCCTGACACTAGTCCACTACACAGAAGATCAGGGGGAGAAGTGAGATATGACTTGTTCAGCTGGGAGTTATATTTAGGTTCTGTAGGCTAGATTGTGAAACTACGAAGGACTGAAACCCCTGCATCCTAGTGTCCCCTGTCACCATATTAATATTTTCTAATCTGATTTTTCTGAATTTTGTTTGTATCTAAACAGCTATGTTTTACGCACACACAAACAGTGCCGTGAAAAAGTATTTGCCTGATTTCCTCTATTTTTGCATATTTGTCACACTGGATGTTTTCATATCTTTAGAGAAAATCTAGTATTAGATAAAGGGAACCTGAGTGAACAAACAACACTTTTTTATTATTATTTCTTTGATTTAATAAACACTTTTTTATTATTATTTCTTTGATTTAATAAACAAAGTTATCCAACACCCATATCCCCTGTGTGAAAAAGTAATTGCGCCACCTTTAGCTGCAATAACTGCAACCAAGCACTTCCTATTATTCTTTCACATTGCCGTGGAGGAATTGTAGCCCACTCTTCCTCACAGAACTGCTTTAATTCAGAAACAGTGGTAGATCTTCGAGTATGAACTGCTCATTTCAGGTCCTGACACAGCATCTCTATTGGGTTTAGGTCTGGAATTTAA